ATAGATAGACAGATAGATAGATATATAGATAGACAGATAGATAGATAGATATACAGACAGAGAGATGATAGATAGATAGATAGTCACTTAGAACCAAAGGGCAACACTAGAGTTAAGAGTTATTCAAAAGTAGTATACAAATGTGCAGTAAGCTAATGTTAGCTGCTGAACTCATACCTGCTGTAATATATAATAATAATAATAATAATAATAATAATAATAATAATAATAATAATAATAATAATAATAATAATAATAATAATAAAAATAATAATACTATATAATAATAAGAAAAATTGGTCTTGTGTTAAACAACAACCTCCTCATCAACCATGTGCAGGTTTGTCTGGAGGAACAACACAGTTAATGTGGAGACTGTTAAAATGTCGCGCGTGTGTGTGGGAGGGGTGGGTGAGACACGCGGTCAATAAATGTGCACACACTGTCTTAGGTTATCATTTCAGCAGCTACAGCTCTCACAGTCTGGCTTCACAGGAGTGACATCAGCAACGACCTGCTTGGGACCTTTCTCCAGGTATTATTCAATTTATTATATTATATTATATTATTTATTTATTTGCCATTTTTGTATCGTGTGGCCCGCTGAAAAGTTGTTTTTATTTTCAAATTGTTTTTGGCTAAATACTTTTTTAACGCACTTGCTAAAGTTAGCTTCGTAGAAACGCTGGACTTTGTCGTCCTCAAGGCTTCGAGAAATTATGTGGGTTATTTTATTAAAAATATTAAAAGACTTGTTTCATAGTTAACTGTGTGCTTCACGTGACTAAATAGTTTATCTAGTATTTGTTTGTACACACCGTCCGAGCGTTTCCGTATTGAAGTACGTTGATTGGAATGGATAAAAGTCAGCCCTCGTACACCGTTTACTGTATACTCTTGTGTTTTGGTGTTTGCTACGTGAAATTAAAGGTAACTGGATTTAAAAAAAAAAAAAAAAAAAGGTTATTGACAAAACTGAAATATGCGCTTTATTTCTGCAGGATATATATATATAAGTGTGTATATTAGCGACCTAACACACTAATGACTTCAGATATTATTAAGTTAGGTTGTGTAAAAGTACTTTGCAAAACATTTCATCTAATTTAGCGTAATTTGTGTACTTGTGTCCAAAAGCAGCACGTGTAAACTGACAAGCATATCCTCAAAACAAAAACAAAAAAACAAAAAACAAAAAAAAAAAATCAATGGGAATGCGCATCCCGCGTCTATTCTAGTCTCTGTGTGTGTGTGTGTTTGTACTTCGGACCCAAAAATCACCGAAACTTGCAAGTGAATGTCGCTGTTCATTAATCTAATTACTTTAATTGCCCAATTTAATTTAAGCCTAAGCCAAATTGAAATTTTTTTTGTACTTTGAAAAAGTTTTAAAAAAATATTTATATTTGCCATACATGTATATATTCCCGTGACAATAATACATTGTTTATCGTACATATTATATTATTTTATATTATTCCAAAGTGAGGTGATCTAATTTATAACACCGTCAATTATTAACCAGTTTAAAGTTTTTTAAATTTTGACACATCGTCATCTTTTACCTGAATCCCAAAGGTATCTCAGACCAGATAATTTGGTCAAGCACCAGCCTACAATATTTTTGTACATATTGTCAAGAAACCTATTGATATCAGTGAACAATAAGGAACTGAACTGTCCACGTTTACACCGGGGTGTCTGTG